AATTTTCGTTTTTGACTAGCTAACTACTGTTTATTTTTTAGCTTTGCGTGGCTAACTACACCTTTTCAAGATGTAATTGAGAAAACAAAAATTGTAATTAAGAATCGTAAGATGTAATTGAGACAAGGCCTTCTTAAACAGGCCGCGACAGCTCATTTTCCATAAAATTAGCGAAGGCCGACTTTTTTACGGTTAAAATTATTTTTTATCTTTGCTTTCGTAAACAAACTTCAGAAACAAATAAAGAGCTTTATTAGGACAAAACATTTTGATTGAATTTCGAAAGCAAATATAGTAGGAATTTTTTTTACGTTTAGAAATAAGTTAATTACAATAAAAATTTAAGGAGTTTAGCTAAAAATGACTAAATCTCGTTTTTATAACTATATGTTTATTTTAGCTGTTTAACACTTGTAATACAAATAAATTTTTTGATAAAAACAAACAAATATATTAACTTTATTTTATTAAAATTATTTTGACTTTTTTGACTCAAAGTATTTTATTTTGAAGTTGAAAGTTTTGCTTGTTTTATTAAACATTCCTTCCCAAAATCTTCAGAGTGTTTTTTACAATAATTGTTTAAAAAAATGTTTGCCAAAGTGCAGCAAACTTTTTTAACACTTTGAACAAGCAATTGAAATTTACTATTGCAGTTAATAAAAATGTCAATTAATCCTTTCTTGCACAGCAATGGTGAAACTTTATTCACAAGTGTCACTTCAAATATAAAAAAACAATAAAAAACAAAGTAGACTAAATTGTCAGAAGGTTCTCTTAGTCTTGTTCCCCTGTTCAAAGAACTGATTAAAGTTCCATATTTTTGAAACATATCGAAGGTGTCTGTTTTTTCTAAAATTGAATGTAATTCTGGAAGTTTGTAAGCAATAAAACCTGCATTATATAAAAGCCCTTGTTTGCATTCATTTGGCAACTGATCCTCACAATTTTCACATATTGACATATTAAACTCCACATCAAGTCCATACTTATCACAGTGGTGGTGAGCAGGAGGAAATATTGTAAAATCTGTATGCTTTTCTAGCAACTTTCTAGTTTTGTTGATTCTAAATTTTTATATAACATTTTGCACAGTTATCAGATATGTGCCACCTGACCCTTGCCGATATTTCCCAAACTGTTTTTCTAGTGCATCTGATTGCATATGTCCTAACAATACATAAGATACACCGCAATTCAACAAATACTTGGCACAGCTTGCTAATCTTTTAGAAGTTTTTTGCAAAGCACTTGCAGTATCCATTGTTATCTTTTTCTCTCTTAATTTTGAATTTACGCATTTCAAATTTTCAGCAAAATACGAAATATAGTTCTCTAAGAAATCTATTTGCTAATCATTGACTGAAGTAATAGGCTTTCTTCGAATATCATTTAATCTAATATCTAGATCTTTTGCTTTACTGTTGACAATAAGCCACCACTTAACAACTGTTTCAATAAAAAGTGCAGTATCTTCAGCTTCAGGAAATTTTACACGTAATGCTGCAACTGTTTCATCACAAAAAACTTTAAGAACTAATCCAACATTTTGTCGTTCAATTGGTTTTGGTGACACAGCTTTTTGTGTTAATATAACTTGCTCGCTTAGAATCTGTTTCATTATTAATAACATAACGAACAGCATTCTCCAGTTGAGAATAATATTTAATAACTCCTTTGTTTAAAAAAGCCAGTTTAATTTGTAAAAGTGAGCTATATCCAGTAAAATAAATATCTCCAGAATCTTCTAAAGTTGTATATATTGAAAACTTAGGTACTGGTCCACAATGTTCATATGATATTAAAGATATATTTTTTTCTTTTTCAACAAAATAAAATTTTTCTTCGCAGTTATTTATTATTGACTTCAAATTTTTTACAATTGAATTAAATCGAATAACGTCCATTTTTTTGAAGTTTTCGAACTCATCAGGTAAATTATTTCTTTCAGAGCATATTAACCTAGTGACATCTCGTTTTCTAGACACTGTTGGAATACAAGACACTGGTATACCTTTAATGTTTGATGGAGGATGCACTGGAACAAAACTACCACCTTTGACTTTTTTTAATTCATGCATCTTTAGGCCAGTGCTGAGCACAAATTCGCTTATAATCTGTAAACACAAAGTTTGCATTTGGAAGTTTTTTAATCCATAACTCGCGATCCTCGGATTTAAAGGGGAATCTATACATTGTGACATAAATATTATCTTTTACTTTTGATTTGTAATTTGAGGAGCAACCATAAACGCAGCATTTATTAGGCATTTTACGAGTTTAACTATTATAGTTTAAATCAAACAACCAAAATCCTCATTGAAACTATACTTCTCCGTAAAAAAGTCGGCCTTCGCTAATTTTACGGAAAATGAGCTGTCGCGGCCTGCTTAAGAAGGCCTTGAATTGAGAAAACAAAAGTTGTAATTAAGAAACGTAAGATGTAACTGAGAAAACGTAAGTTGTAATTAAGAAACATAAGATGTAATTTAGAAAACGAAAACTGTAATTAAGAATCGTAACATGTAATTGAGAAAATGTAAGTTGTAATTAAGAAATAGAAAGATGTAATTGAGAACACGAAAATTTTAATTTAGATATCGCTTTAAAGGAGTAAGTGTAAAATGGCGCTTAAAAAAAATGGCGCGTAAAAAAATGGAGCGTATAAAATGACGCACTTAAAAATGACGCAAGATTTGTAGCGTAAATTTAAATTTTTAGGGAAAAATTTATAGTTTTTGGGCAAATGAATTTAACATAATAAACACTAAAAACATTTTAGGGAAAAATTTATAATTCAATTAAAAATTATATAATTAAAAATCACTTCATTGATCATTTAAGCACCAACTTGTACGTCTTCCATATTTAAAATAGTTGCATAGTGCGTGGTTGTGTGTTGTACCGCACGTGCACAATCTCCTCCCATTATAGTATTTTTCGCCTCAATTACAATTCGTTCTAAGTACTGCGTGCGCTGTTCCGCAATCCCGTCACCTAATACAGGTGGAATGCGAATTGCATTTTTAACGTTACTTTTAATTTTGGGCCAGATCGTTTCCACCGGGTTTAACATTGGACTGTAAGGTCCCAAACGTAACAACTGAGCTGGTGAATTATCAAACACCCTTTGCAAACGAGCGTGACAAGGAGCATTATCTGTTACGACGACCAAATCCTCCAAACGATTCCCGGATGTAACCCACTGGTGAAACATAGCCAACATCCACTCGTTACAGGAATCTGCTTTAAATGATCCCCTGCGAGTTTCTATCATTTGTAGTTGAAATAGCTGCAATCAAGTGTATGTTTAAACCTTTTGAAGCAGGTACTTTCATAATTGCTCTTTTTCCTTGTCTCGCGCGTCCTTGCGTTTTTCTACAAAAAAGGTTAAAATTTGTTTCATCCAACCAAACTATCTGACGACCATTTGTGATATTTTCGTTGATGTTTCTAACATATTCAGCTCTTTTTTGTTTGTTTTCATAACTGTTTATTGTAGAAGGCTCCTTGTGCACTTTTTTTAATGAGAACAATCTGCCTTCGAGGTAATTTGCTATTGTTGTTGTGCTAACGTTTATGTTAAATTGTCTTAATATCTTTGTTTTGATGGCCACCAATGTTAATTGACAATCATTTTCAATCCATGTTAATGTTTCTTCGATTTGATCTTCGGTCAACTTTTTCGGTTTAAAACCTCCTTTTCCGATGAAATTTGAATTTCCGCTGCGAACCCAATTGTATGCTGTCTTATATTTGATACCTAGCGTTTGCGCGAGATTCACCCAATCTTCAAATCGCTCCGCACATTCAACAACTCTTCTCCTGTCATTTGGAGAAGATAAAACGTAACGTTTCCTTTCAACTTGTTCAGTTGTGTGTATTTCATGCCGACAATTCGGACAACTTGAATCTGGTTGTACCAGAACTGGACGTAAACAAATTTGGTGACATAAATGTTGACACGTATTTAGCTTAATCACAGACTTTCGGGTCATAGTGTATTGGCATATAACACAACGATCTTTCAATTCCATTATTATTACTTGTGCATACAAAAGCAAAATTTAAGATTATAACTTAAATTCATGTCCAAAAAGACCTTTTGTAACAACCTACAAACTTAGACTGTGAGTTTGCTATTTTAATTTATGTTTTCTCAATTACAAGTTACGATTTCTCAATTACATATTATGATTTCTCAATTATATCTTACGTTTTCTCAATTACATGTTGTGTTTCTTAATTACATGTTACGACTTCTTATTTACATGTTGTGTTTCTCAATTACATATAACGTTTTCTCAATTACATGTTGTGTTTCTTAATTACATATTACGACTTCTTAATTACAACTTTCATGTTCTCATTTACATCTTGAAAAGGTGTAGTTATGAGTTTTTGGCATTAATTGGCTAACTATTGATGAACTTTTAGCTTTGATTGGCTAACTATTAATGAATTTTTGGCTTTGATTGGGTAGCTAGTGACTGGTTTTTCTCTAGGTAAAATTAGACACGAAACAATGTAAATTACGTATCATTGTAATTTTTTTTTTTTTAATTTGTTGTCAAAGATATCAGGATTTGATTAGGGTAATTAAAGTTGCCTGATCGTTACAGAAAACTTCTAGTATAAAAGTTTCGAATTATTCGGAAAAAAGAAAAAAGATAATCATGTTTACGAAAAATATATTCGAAAAAAAGAAAAAAATTAATAATAATCGTATAAAAATTCTCATATAATTTTCAATAACTATAAATATTAAATCTTAAATATAATTTAAAGTTATAAAATTCAAACCAATGTTTTTTAAAAATTATTTTTAAAATCAAAATTAATAGCTTCGACAATATTGTTTAATGTCATACATTTTGGGGTGATTGATGTTCGAAGTAATTGTAAAATAGCGCAAAAAGTATTATATACGTTAGTCAAACTGTGAAATAGAGTTAGATGAGGTTAAAATGACATCAGTGTCCAAATTGACTAGGCATAAATATTAGTATTATTAAGAACTTGTATTTTTTTTAAAAGTAAACAGAATCTGAGAAATAACTAGTAGAATAAAGCCGATTCCAATGGTAACAACTATCGATAGTTTTAAATATTTTCTTAATTGAATAACCTTCTCGCGCAACATAGCTGCGTTTTTACCATCTATTTCGCCAGTCTAAAAATATTGAAAACATTTAATAAATCAAAATATAATTATAAAAAACATTTAAAGCGTTTTAATAATAACGGTTTTCAATTTTATTGCTTTTTATTGCTAAATATATTATGACATATATTGAATTTCAAAATTAATTTTATTATAAATTTATATTGCAAAATAAATCTATAATAAAATTATACCACAAAAATAAACCACGTAAAATATGCATTTAAGCAAAAAAAAAAAAAAAAAAAAAAAAAAAATCATACCTAAAAAATTGATAAGACATATTTTAATATTATAATTAATATTAAAATATGTTTTAATAAAATAATTAATATTATATTATAATTATATTTTAAGACAACAAACATAAAAAAAGGAAGAAAATATTTCGCAAAACTTATCAACATCTTATAAAAATTATTTAATATTTTTTGTTGTAACAAACTAAAGTCAATGTTTACTTATTTCTGTACCAGTATACGATTCTGACATCGAGAAAATCGTTAAAAAATGTAAAAAAACTTCTTTTTTCTTCTAAGGTTAATTTCAATTATTTTTCTTGAAAGGCCATTTTTAATTATTTAAAGATTTTACCATAAAATTTACTGTTGCTTCATTCTCTTTAAAGTATTCTATGATTATAGGAAAATATTCATTTTTACAATTCTCTCTGGACAAACATGCACCGCTAAAAATTCTGGACAAACATGCACCGCTAAAAAAACTAAGTAATCGTGGCTTAACTCGGAGCCTAAAACCATGAATTACTTCAGCAATTTTAACCTCGATAAAAAAACGAAACAATATATTTAAGAAGTTCCTTAAAACAAAAAATCTTTATTACAAACCTATAGAAATTTACTTGTAACACTTATTCGAAGAAGCAAAAAAAAATACACTTTTCTAACTACTTTACTACCAATAGCAATAGTTTGAGACCTACGTGGAAGGGTATTAGAACTCTTTTAAATATACGTTCGAATGATATCTCATATCCATCTTATATATATTCAAACAATACCATTATAAATGACCCAGTTTCTCGAAAATCTCGGAAGTTTTCAACTCCTTTTTTATTTCAATTCCTGAAGAACTGCAAAAAAAAAATAATCATTCATCTCATAGTGACTTCCATAAGTATTTAAAAACATCAAACCCTGACTCTCTTTTCATTAAATCTACTGAAGAAAAATGAAATAATATCAGTTAATCTTTCTCTAAATGATGGCAAGGTGTCTGGTCCAAACAGCGTTCCAACATTTATTCTAAAACTTCTTGCTAATGATATTATATCATTCGCTACTGGTATATTCCCTAATATTTCAAAAACTGCATCTGTTAAACCAATCCATAAAAAGAACTCAAAACTTGACTCCAATAACTATAGACCAATATCATTATTATCAAATGTCAGCAAAATTATTGAACCATTACTGTTTTTAATATATATTAACAATCTGCCTCACTCTATAAATAATTTGATAGTTCATCATTTCGCTGACGACACTAACCTATGTACAAATAAATCACACAAAAGTGATTTATTTGTTAATTCAAAAGTTAATTCAGATCTCCATTATTTGTGACATTGGTTAAATAGTAACTTTTCCTAAAACATCAATAAAACTGAATTTATTATTTTTCACCCTCCAAAAAAAAAAAGAGATTGATAGTAATAATGTGAAAATTAAAATTAATGATAAAAGACTTTTCGCATCTAAATAAAATAATTACCTTGGGCTATTTCTTGACAAAAAACTCTTATGGTACTATCAACTAATTCAATTAAATAAAAAATTCTCACGTGCCAATAGTATGCTGTCGTTATTACGACACTATGTTCCCCAACATATTATAATACCAATTTATTATTTCTTTTTCTCTTCACATCTAAGTTATTGTTGCACTCTTTGGGGTCAAAAAGTTAGTTTTCTATAACATCCTATAAACAGTTTACAACGTACATTCTTAAGAATTATGACATTTTCTCCTTTGCGATCTAATACCGAAAACAGGTTTTCTGAATTGAAAATTCTAAAAGCTTTACAATTGTCTCTTTGTGTTTGATTTTCTTCAAAATAAACTACCAAACTCGCTCAATAATTTTTTTATTAAAACAAGTGACACACAAATATTACACTCGAAATACTGAAAATTTTAACTTACACACTTCCTTTTTTCAACACTATCAAATATTGCAAGCTCTCTATAAAACATCAATGTATTTTTCGCTGGAACCAAATAATACCATTTATAAAAAAAAAGATTTTAAATAAATACCCTTTTATTACCAACGTCATTCTTCTTAATAGGAACCAAATGAAGAAATTTTTAATAGTGTATATATTTAATGAACATTAATTTTATCATTTATTATTATTGCTTTTTTATATTACTGTATTTATAAAACTATTGTTACTTATATTTTATACTGTCTTTTTTAACTCTACTACCAATATTGGTATTATCATTAATTTACCTTTGTTTTAGAAATCTTATTAATACTATTTATAATGATAGTGATTCCAGCGCTCGAAATAATGGCCGATCAACGATTAATGATCGGCTATTTTTAGAGAAATTTCGAAAAATCCAAGGGAAAATAAACTGTTTTTGTGAAAAAATTACATTTGATCGGCAAGCTTTAAAAAACTATTTCGAGCGCTATGATTCTTTTGTAGTAATAGCTTTATGATTATTGTTTTAAATTTTGCTGTTCTGTTTATTTTAATAATTTCTGTCATAGTTATAAACTTTACTGTAATTATTATTACCATAGTTTTTATCATTAGTTATAATTTTGAGTTAAGTTATCATGATATAGTTACTATTTGTATGCCGTTTTATTTGTATTTGTATACATTGTATAGTTACAATTTGTAATGCAGCCGTGGCGCAGTGGTAGCGCACTTGCCTCAGAAACGTAAGATCAGTGGTCAAACCCACCTCTGGACAAGTTTTGCGACATCGGTTGGGAAGGAGGCGTGAACTTTCTATTAAATGCTCTTCCGCATTTAATATATATATATGTGATCGATTAAATATTTCTATTAAATGCTCTTCCGCATTTAATAGAAAGGCACCTTAATTAACTTTAAAAAAAAAAAAAAAAATTTGTAATGTTTTTTATCCACATTATTGATATTTTTATTATATTATTACTGCAATTATTAATGTTATCTTTATTTATTAGTACTTTATTTTCCTTTCTTTTTTTTCCCTCTTTCTTTTATTTTAAATTCTTTCTACGTTTTAATTATAGTTTTTTTTTTCTAGGTGTCACTCCATTGACTAGTTTTTAATTATATGAGTGACACCTTATTTATGTGAGTTTATAAAATATTATTGTAAATTTTCATATTTTATGGTTAAATAATTAACTTGACAATCTTCAATTGCAAACGCATTAATATGCTTGTTAATAATACACCTATTCGATCAGAAAAAACCGCGTCAAAATTTTGAGGCCTGGACTCAAAATTTTGTGGGTAAAATAAAAATAAACTTTTACATTCAAGCGATTTTCTTACTAAACATTGAGAAGACTTTTAAGATTCCCTATTGATTATATTGTTTATTTTAAGATTATACACATATAGGACTTCGATTTGATTAATAAAATGAAAGTATGTGAGTTGAAGCAATATTTAAGACTTAGAAATTTGCGTGTTTCTGAAACAAAAAGGGAACTGGTTGCTCAATGAAAAATTTTATTGAGCCTGTACTTACTGCCACAGAAGAATTCAAAGACGAATATCAAAAAAAAACTTTTAATTAACAATATTAAATTGAGTTATCCGTTTATCTTAACAGATAATTGGTTACCTAAAGAAGATGGTATTAAATATTGACCAATGACTTTATATCCAGATATTTTTAATTTTTTGATGTTTAACTTTCCTGAACTAGGTAGCAATGACCTAAATGAATATAAAAACTCAAAAGCTTTCAGTTTTTATAAAACAGGTTGGCTTCAAAAATTAGAATATCACTGCATAAATGAGGAAAGTCCATTTTATGCAATAAAAGGTGAATGCATAACATATAAAACATATTAATGACACACACCACAAACTGTGGTTAATTATTAGGGTATATCATACTAGAGCCAAAAATTAAATTTTTAGAATTTTGACTAGCACGCTTGGATTCCTATGTATTTGGGTATAGGGAATTCAAATATAATAATATTTTTACAAAATATTGATGTCTAGCTACTGGGAAACGGGTTTTAAAATTAGGGTTTTTTTTTCAAAAATTAATCTATTTTAACTAAAGCTTAATTTTGGAAAGGTTTTAGTCAATTAATACTAAAAATTACAATTATATTAGGTAAAAAGTAAACTATGTGAAATAAAACAGATATAATTATTATTTAATTTCCAGGATTCTAGATCCAGAGTGCGTAAAAAGGGCTACGGCTCCCCCCCCCTTTTTTTTTCAATATTTGATAGTTTTATTATGATTATAAGATCAAGGTATATTACAATTATTATATATATATATATATATATATATATATATATATATATATATATATATATATATATATATATATATATATACCCACACACTGGATTAGGAGCAAGGGGAGGGTGCGTAGGGCGAAAGCGCCCTCCCCTCAAACTTTCTCAAAATACCTGTTTAAATTAAAAATCTTGCTGTTGTTTTTTTGCTACAAATTTTTTTTTCAGCCCCTAACATTCTTTTAAGATCAACATAAAAAACAAGAATTTTTTCAAAGATTTAATGTTATGCACAACAAAGTTTAAATAAAATCAAAAAATACCAAATTAGTAATTAAATAAGCTACTGAAAGTCTTTTTTTGACTTAAACAAAGGCATTAGTTCACGATTTCGCAATTGTGTTCTTATAAAACCATCTCTTTTATCCCAACCACAGACTGACTCAGCTGCTTCTGTGACTAATTTGACTGCTCTCTCGCAACTTTGAGTATGTAATGAGTATGCAGGGGAGAAACTATCAATGCAGTTGGACTGACGATTGA